CAAAACAAGGATGGTAAAAAACACTTTGATTTCCTGGGTGATGCCTTTTTTTTTTTTTTTTTTTAATACACTTCTATGACTTTTATTCAACAGCGCTGATCTGCTTGTGTCTTTCCAGGAGGCTTTTTTGGTCAGCCCGCCCAGCAGCAAGCTCAGCCCAATCAGTTGTACCAGCAGGTGACTGCTTTGTCGGCGCCCACTTTGCTGGGGGACGAGCGCGACTCCATTCTGGCCAAATGGAACCAGCTGCAGGCCTACTGGGGCACGGGCAAGGGCTACTTCATCAACAATAACGCCCCCGTGGACTTTAACCAGGAGAACCCCTTCTGCAGGTTCAAGGTAGCACTGGCTTGTTGAGAATTAGATCAATCAATACAAAATCAATGTTGTAGGGGCCGGGCAAGGACTTCTCTGTGAATGGACTATTAATAGGTTCCTTGCGCCTGAAGCCAGAGGGCAGCCATCTTATGTTGCCACTCTTACTGACAACTTCAGTGATTTACGCTAGCCGGTTTTACACATCCGCGAGATAGAAAGACGGTATTAAAAACATCTTTTTTTTTTTTAATATATAGTTTTAACCTTCCCACAGACTTTAAACACATTTAAAGATAACAACACACACGTTTCAAACAAAGTGTAACCATATGTTAATGCAAAATAATAATTCATTCAGTAAACTATGACTACTACGAATAATAATAATAATAATAGTCATCTAAAAACAAATTAAAAAGAACAACTGATTAAAAAGTCATTGTAGCCAAGTCACAAATTAGATATAGCTAGTAAACATTGTACTTCCTTAACACCGGTTGCAACTTAGCTAGGTTTTGGGTGACATCTTGTGATTTCTTAACACATGAAAATGGTTCTACCAAAAAAAAAAAAAATGTGATTATTTAAATTGGAAATGGGATTGCTGTTCACTGTCCACTGTGCCCGCCAGGCTGTGGGCTACAGTTGCGTGCCCATCAGCAAGGATGAGGATGGCCTGGTGGTCTTGGTCCTCAACAAGAAGGAGGCGGACGTGCGAGTGCAGCAGCAGCTGCTGGTGGAGTCGCTCCACAAGGTTCTGGGAAGCAACCAGACGCTCAGCGTCAATGTGGACGGCGTCAAGTCTCTGCCCAGCGACCAGTACGTCCCACATGTACACACACACACACACACACACACGCACTCACTCACAGAGTGAAAGTCTCACAATTTGAAGATGTCTAAACAATTCGAGTCTCAAAATGACTCATGATTAATTGTATAATGGACTCGTCGATGATTCTTTGCACCTCTTGTGATGATATCGATTTTTTGTGGACGTCTCTCAGGACAGAGGTGATCATTTACGTGGTGGAGCGCTCCCCTAACGGCACATCCAAGCGCATTCCCGCCTCCACTCTCTTCACGTACCTGGAGCAGGCCAACATCAAGGCTCAGCTGACGCAGCTGGGCGTGGCCATGTCGGTCACGCGCACGGAGCTCTCGCCCGCACAGCTCAAGCAGCTTCTCCAAAACGCGCCGGCAGGTGAGCGCGCGCATTCCCCCCTTCCGCCAGTTGCTTTTACAATGACTCAGAGAGAATATTTGTCCCCATCAGGGGTGGACCCCATCATCTGGGAGCAGGCGAAGGTCGACAACCCCGATCCGGAGAAGTGAGTAACTTTGCAGCTGTTTGTGCTCATTTACTGTACAACCCACAGTGCTGAAATTACACCCCCCCCCTCCTCCACCCCAGGTTGATCCCAGTGCCCATGGTGGGCTTTAAAGAGCTGCTTCGTCGACTTCAGATCCAGGAGCAGATGACGAAACAGCATCAGACCAGAGTGGATGTGAGTGAACACCATTGAGTAGGGGTACAACCATTTTGAAAAAACAATGTATGGTCACTGCAATTCCCCGACTCCCCTTCCCCCCTCACTATTGTAATTGAAATGTAATATTTTTGGGTCCGCTTCTTGAGTATTTATGACCAAAAATCTTCACGTGTGGAGAGAGCCGATGATTCTTGAGCCATTTGACCTAGCAGACAGTAATGCCATCGGAATGTAGCTAATCAAATTGCTCTGACTGGGTGGGTTCCCCCAGACGGCAGGAAGTATTTTATAAAGCGAGTCTTTTCTTGCCACGTTCCCACCTCTGGTCCTCTCCACACATGGGGCACTGACTATGCCGTGCCTTTATATTCCATAAGCACCTGGTCCGCTTGATTATTTTTGGGTCTACTGACAATTCTGTGGACTTTGCAGATTGTCTCCAACGACATCAGCGAGCTCCAGAAAAACCAGGCGACCACCGTGGCCAAGATCGCCCAATACAAGAGGAAGCTGATGGACCTCTCTCACCGCGTGCTGCAGGTACATTGCGCCGCTGCCGTCCCGTCCGTCAAACTCGTCTTTTCTCTTTCCGCGCGCTCGTCACGGCCCCTCTGTTGGTTCTTCACAGGTGCTAATCAAACAGGAGATCCAGAGGAAGAGCGGCTACGCCATCCAGGTGGATGAGGAGCACCTCAGGGTGCAGCTTGACACCATTCAGTCGGAACTCAACGCCCCCACGCAGTTCAAGGTGAGCATACAGCCAAGCTTGAACTCGTTGGCTTTTTAATGCAAGCGATTCAGCAAGTGGAGCGCCGTTGCCCATTCATCCTCCCTCGCAGTGAACACAAAGAAAAATAAGTGCAGTGTGAAAAGGACTTAAGTGTATGCACATGCTTGTACAACCTTAAACGTGTTTCCTCCCAAAACAAACCAAGCGATTCCCTCAGTCGAGATGCATCACCTGTTTTTTTTATTTTGGACATTGTTCAAATACGTTTCATTCGCCAGGGTCGCTTGAACGAGCTGATGTCCCAAATCCGCATGCAGAACCACTTCGGGGCCGTGCGGTCGGAGGAGCGCTACAACGTCGATGCGGACCTCCTCCGAGAAATCAGACAAGTAAGCGCTTGAAACCGGTTCCGTTTTCCAACTGTCCGAGGGAGCGGTGTTCAAGTTTAACCAAGTGTTTTGGGTTTTTTTTTTTTGGTCTCAAATCACCTTTAGCATCTAAAGCAACAGCAGGACGGTTTGAGTCACCTGATCAGCGTCATTAAAGACGACTTGGAAGACATCAAACTCATCGAGCACGGGCTGAGCGACAGCGGACACGTACGAGGCGGCATCCTCAGTTGAGCTGACTGGCGCACACACGTACGCGCTCACTGATACAAGAAAGCTTCCAGGTGCCAAATAAATATCCCCTGCCGTTCGTGTCAAATCACATCATGGATACGAGACTTTGAAAACATTTGTACATACATCTTTGTATTGCTTTTTTTATTTGCCACTAGAACATTATTAAAATGACGTTTCAACTGGGACCTTGAAAACTACTGTCGATATATTTTTATCAGTGCGTACTGTACGTTGTGATGCTGATAGGCCTGCGACTCCGCATCGCACCGGAATGGATCGCCCTTCCACTGAGCAGCAGTGGAATCCCATCTCTCCATACTCCGAGCCAAAACAAGAGCTATCTGTAGTTAAGATGGCCAATGGGTACGAACAGGAAGGTTAAAAGAAAAATGGAAGGAAAACAGATTGATGTTTATAAGTCCACATTTCTTCAGGTTTAAACAGGAAATGTGTTTTGACAAAAGGATATTTCGAATTGTCTGTAGTTTGAGTCTTTGAAGGAAATGACACATTGATAGTGTTAACGAGTTCATTCATATGTACGGAAAATCACAAGTCGCATTTTGCATGGGCCGCACCATTCCGAACCGCATCGTAACCCCACTGAAGTCAACCCAATTTAATGGTTGTCAGTTTAAAATCCAACCGTCTTTGAGCTGCTGATATGCGACGTGCCGTCAAATTGGCACGGTCTTGAATTTTTGTGAAACGAATTGCCCTGAACAAAAATAAAGGAAAAAAAGAATAAAAACGCTTTTGCCGGGTATGCATCGCCGGCGTCGTCTGTTTTAAAGGCTTTGGAGAGAGAGGGTTTGTGATCCGGCCATGGTGACAGTTTTCATGGTATATAGTTGTGCGAGGCGGAGGCCAAGCAGCAGTCTTCAGCATTGTTGATCAGGCAAGGCTTTCTCTGGGCAAACTCTCGCAAAAGTTTCATTTGGCTTGCGCTCCCAACTGCAAACGGCACAAGAGCGAGCATGGACGACATCAGGCTGCGGCTGCTCGTGCAGACCATCTAACTGACACTCATGCAAGGTAGGAGCCACTTTTTGGTCCTTTTCTGCTCACTTGTTCTTGTGTGCGTGCCATACCTCCTGTATGGGGCTATTGTGCCCCTTGTGGGCATCGGTGGTTTCACAGGGTGACCCCCACCAGTTGCCACCCATTTTGTCAATGAATCAATCCCCAATTCAAAATTTGACGATAAATGGTCTTTATATAGTCTCCTCCAAAGTGTGTATATAAAGAGTATTTAGAATTGACTCCCACTCTGACCCATGAATGCCTCGGTTAATTCTCACTAAGCATAGTTACTATCTTTATTTAATCAACTGCAGCAACTCATTTGTACATTTTATCATTTTATATATATATGTACATATATATATATTTTTTTTCCCCCCCCTTTTCCAATCCTCATCATTTGTTTTTGTTGGCTCACAATGCTATTCAGATATTCGCATCACGTACCAGCGGCACCTCGTCCTTGAGTGTCACCTGCAAAGGGCAAGTTAGATTACACAAAAAAAAAGTATTTGATTTTGCAGACAATATATTAATACCTGAATAAAATATACATGTATGTAACAAAGCCTATTGACCAACAGTTATTATTGTTGCGAATTGCAGCTTTGCGATTTGAAAATTGTATTTTACTACAATGCAAAGTTGATTTGAACCAGCGCTAAAGTAGACGCACTTTATTTGCTTTACTGGGCCCCATAACACGATGTAGCAGTCTGGCCTTGAGTTTTGACGCCAGTGGTGTAATTACTTCTTTTGATGTTCCCTTATTGGAGTTTTGAAATGCATTGCATGGCGTGTGCGTGATTTCGCACCTTCTTTTACCCGCCTGTTAATCTATTCCTTCCTCTCTGTCTGTGTGTGTGTCCTGGCTCATCCTCCATGTTCTCTTTCACACAGACCAAGGGACAGGAAAAACAATGTAAAGCATCTCAAGGCCAAGCAGGGCTACAGGAAGATAAAAAGCCAGTTTTCCCAGGCCCCGACAACCAACACCTCGAGCCTCATCCGCCCGTCTGCTCACTCCTACCGCCACCCGCCATCGCAAGAAGCCACCGCCGCCACTTTTGTCGATTTTGCCCGCCGCCGTCCGTCCATCCGAAGACCTGAAGATGTCCTTTGCCGTCGCCAGCGTGATGGCACTGATGTGCTCCTCCGTGGTGATTGCGTTTGTCCTGCAGCCTTCCAAGCAAGATGATGTGATGCCAGAAGACTCCAATAGCAGGTGGGTGACACTCTATTTGGACATTCTCAATGCACGAGTATTGGTGGGTTGAATGATGTTCCCCCTGAAGTCGCCCCACACATACGATTTTTAAATTACTGTTTGAGTGCAGATGCCACAGTGACTCCTTGCAGTCCATTCGCAAGGAGCTCCTGGCTGCCCTCAACCTGCAGACTGAGCCGCGGCTGCCAGAGGGCGCCAGGGAGCAGTGGCGAGGAACTGCTGAGCGGCTCAAGGCTGTGACAGGTAAAACTGGAGTGCTTGTGTTGACAACCTGAATCCCAGGAACTTTGATGCCCACTTTCTTCCCAATTTCCATAGTTTCTTCCAGCTCCTCCTCTGATGATGGCCGGGATACCTCAGGATGCTGTGCCGAGACCTCAGAGGTTTCCATGACCGGTACACACTTGCACACTAATGGGTTATTTCCAGTTGATCGTGATTTTGTTTTTTGTTTTTTTTTTCAAACAGGATTTTCCCTTAATATAAACATTGTACAGTATAAAAACATGTTGACTATAATAGAGAAAGTCGATATTTACAGTTACAAGAAATAGTATGTGAACACTTTGGAATTTCCTGGATTTCTGCAAGAATTGGTCATAAAATGTGTTCTGATCTTCATCTAAATCACAACAATAGACAAACACAGTCTGCTGGAACTAATGCTACACAAACCATATGTTCTCATGTGGACAGATGGCCTTAAGTTCTTCTGCAAAATGTCTTGGTAAACATGGGAATTCATTTTTACTTCGATGATGGCAATCTCTGCAGGCCCTGAGGAAGCAAAGCCAAAATGTCTTGGTAAACTTGGGAATTCATTTTTTACTTCGATGATGGCAATCTCTGCAGGCCATGAGGTAGCAAAGCAGCCCCAAACCATCATACCGCTTCCACCATACTTCACAGTTGCGATGAGGTTTTGATGTTGGTGTGCTGCCCTTTTTTTCTCCACACACTGATACTCTAGGATTCTTCTTCACCTCTCTCAACATTCTGCGCTGTGCTCTTGGCAGTCATCTTTAGAGGACGGCCACTTCTAGTTGGAGTTGCAACAGTGCTGAACTTTTTCCATTTAGAGACAATTTGTCTCACCGTGAACTGATGGACATCAAGGCTTTTAGAGACACTTTTTTAACCTTTCCCAGCCTTATTCATGTCAACAATCCCTAATTGTAGGTCTTCTGAGAGCTCTTTTGTGCGAGGCATGAGGTTAAACGGGTTCATTGTGTTAATGTGTCCATGTTTTTGTCCAGAGCTGGGCTGGAACAATTGGATGATCTATCCCGAACGTGTGACCTTGGTGCACTGCACGCACTGCGGCCACAGTGTGTCGTGCAGGCCCCAGTCCAACGCTCCCCAACGTGACTTGCAGGTGTGTTTGCCACAGATGAGATTGACTTACCGCCTCCTGACTGCTTTTTTTTTTTTTTTTTTTTAACTCCCACAACCACCACCCTCCGAGTGTTTTGAAAGCTCAGGCAGCTGACAATAGATAAGCCGGAGTTTTGCCAACAGAAATGTTGGAGCGCTGCAAGTCTCAGCGCTTCCCAACCTCAGATGAATGCAGTCTGGCACCACACGTGGCTTGCCAAAGACAGCCCTGTTAGGATTCTTTTACCTTGATCCACCAAACTGCCATATTGTTTTAAATTGACTTGATCCAGTAGCAACCTAGTATGTTCAAAATGTATCAACCTAAATTTTTTTTAAAATTGATGTTGGGTCAACTTAATTTTTCTAAAATCCAGTTAACACTGCAAAATGTCCAGATTAATAGAACAAAATTTTTCAAATGTATACTTATCAATTAGCTTTTTTCAATCAGGCTGACGCAAAATACTAAATTGACCTAATGAAACTGTTTTTAAACTACGAACACAGATGAATAACGTTTTTTTTTAGTAAGCTGATCTAATATTAGCATAAAATTTCCTGTTATAGTTAATTACGACTCAACTTTTTTTTGGGGGCGGGGAGTATTACATTTCAAAGTCACATTATTTTTTCTTTAAATTAAATGTATACCACATTCTTTTTACATAATGGTATTTTCCAAGACACTCACATTATTTTTTGGATAGTTTTTGAAGCGGTATTTTTGCAATGTATAACTGGATTTTTTTTTCTTAATTTCAACTGTGCATCTTGTATGAATGCTGATAATTGAAATAATGTAACCCTTTTAGTTTTTTAATTGAGTTGTGTTGGCCAGATTAATGGTGGAAGAACAGGGGTGTGTAGACTTTTTACATCCTCTGTCTCACAATAGCCTTGATGGATTTTTGTGATTCTCCGTGTGGTTGTCCGGAACATTCCGGTCTTTATAACACTCCTGTCGTGTTGCTCTTGCTGCAGGTCCAGGCACCTTGTTGCCAGCCCACCACCCAGGAAGCGGTGCCTGTCATGTACATGGACGAGTGGAACACTGTGGTCATCACTTCTATGCACCTGACCCGCCGCTGCGGCTGCCCGGCCACCCAGCAACCCCCCCAGGAGTAACCGTGTGTCACCTGTAGCGCATCACAGTTCCTCCACTCTCAAATTCTATAATAACTTCATGTACTGCCGTAGTATTCCACTGTAAAAAAAAAAAAAAAATCAATGAAATACATTACAGCATTTAGTAAACAACCTCACAAAACTGACCTCGGAAAACCTTCCTCAAAAGTCTCCATTCCTGTTTCTACAAGCACCATAACAGCAGATGGTCAAATACCAATATTATTTTGGCATTCTGGGGAAAAAAAGTATTTGGTCTCCTGGAAATGACCACATAAAGTCATGCACTTGACACACTAGGGATTTATTGCCTCACATTTTATCCTCGGTCAAATCTCGTCGGTGTCGGGGCAGCGGTTTGAACTCAAGCCGCTCACCGGTACTGCGTGTTCCCTCCAAAAATGTGCAAACGTCCCAGAGCCAAAGACTGTGCTTGTCTCTGTTCAAAAATATCTCCTCTTATATTTGATCAAGTTAAAATCTCACAATTTACATACAGAAGCAAATTAGTTGTTTTTCGGTGCAAACCTGCAAGGGAGCTGGCTGTATTATTTAACTTTTTTTTTTTTTTTTTGTACATCACCACTGTCCAATGAAAAGCACAGATATCCTTCTTTTGTCCTTTTTTTCAAAGTATTTATCCAAAATGCAATAAAAAGTCATTAACCTCGATAATACCTCTTGTGATTTTTCATTCGTTTTGCAATAATATAGCTGATAATTTATGACTTTAAAAAAATAAATAAATAAAGGTTCAGGAGTTCAATTTGGAAGACCCAATTCTAAACGTTTTCATTCCGTAAATGATATGACCATGTTGAAAAATGTTGTAATATGGACAATAATTAAGGCCTTCGTGCTTTGAAATTGTTTCGAGATCTATTTTTAAAATCACTTTGATCAAATTTAAGATTTCTCCTTCACTAAATATTTTTTTAAATTGCAATAATATTCATGACATTTACAGATTTATTTTTTCCGTGTGAGCGCCATATATGTATATCAATGAAAGCCTTTTAGATATCGTTTTCTTCTTTTTTTTTTTTTAAATAAACAAAATTAACACCGCTCATGTGCGACGAGGTGAATTGAATTTGTCTCCGTGGTGAAAAACAAAAGCCAAATTGGAGATGCATGCTTCTTGATGGACAGTGACCATATAACCGCTAATTGTTTCTTGTTCTCTAAACAATACTGAATGCCGAACTACATTTTTTTTTTTGGTCATTGGTTCTAGTTCTCGTCTCACTTTTTAATTTTTTTTTTTTTTTAACAGGGTTACCTCACATGATTATTTTTCTGACCCATTGCAGAGTTCTTATCTACGCACGTTTATGTATTCATAACACCTCAACTTAACCTTCACGTATGCTGAATAGACATCACTCGCCGAGTTCATGATTCCCTGCTGCCATTTGTTATTTAATAAAGGCTATCGAAATCAGCTTCTCACGCCCTGTTTGTGCAGGCTTGGTGGATTATTTATAGAACTTTGTGCCAGGCTTTCTGGATTTCACGCCTGCCAAACACTTGGATGAAGGAATCTCACGGGGGGAAGGATAATAGCCAAGGAATGAATGTTGGCGCCATACTCCAGGAAGCCAGTTGCTCCCCACATGTTCCGTACTTCAGGATCTTCAGTGTCTTTGCCATCTGCGTGTTTCAGTTGTCAACTCTTCCCTGTCCACACGGCGCTCCTCCTAAGCCAGATATTGATCCTGCATTGAAGCAACGAACCCTGCGAGAGGACAGCGTGACCTGGCCGGGAGTTGTCTGATAGCGGACGGAATAATGACGGGATATTTGGCCGCGTGGGTGTCTTTCTGGGTGCTCTCCTCGTTTCTTCGGGCTTCACGCGCGAGCGAGTGCTCAGGCAAGGAAACGCTGCTGCGGCCGCTCCCCAGCGTCTTGCCACAGCTGACAGACTGCTTGATGGAGTGCACTGAGATGACGTACGCCAGGAAAGCGCAGCTGCAGGACAAGCGCAGTGTGCGGATACAAGACTCCACTGAAGGTAAGCGGCCTGTCGGGCATTTTGGCGGGGATAGAGGTTAGAGATAGGCGGGATGGTTTTGAGGATTGGGATTGCTGTGAGCGTTGGGTCCTGAGCTCAGGTTTGGGATAAAGGTTAAAGGGTCAGACTGAAATGGGATGTATTGGGTATAGATATAAGGATTAAGATTCGATACTAGGGGTTAGAGACTTAAAATTTAGGTGTCAGGTAGGCTTAGGACAACGTTGGGTTTCACTTTAAAGGTCCAAAGTAGGATTTGGGTAAGTTATGGAGGTGGTTTTAAAGTTAGAGGTAAGATTAGTTTTGGGTTCGGGATGAGGTTGGTGGGCTGCAGTAGCAGTCAGAGGAACGACCTCAGAATTAGACCTTGGTTAAGTTTTTAGATGAGGGTTATACATTTATGATAGTGGTTAAGTCTGAAGTTATGGGGAGGTCAAGGTGCTTAGATTTTATTTTCGATATTGGGATAATGTTTCAGGCAAGATCGGTAGACATGACATCCGTGCAGCAGGTAACCCTCAATGACTGCAGGCTTTTTAAAAAAGTTTTATAAAGAGTTTATCAGTGAGCCGCATCCATTTTTTGTTTTGATATGCTAATAAATAAAATGACACGACTAAGCAATGAGCTTTATAATGTTCTTCATTACTGTTCTTTTTTTTTTTATGGAAAATATTGCATTGGTGCAAATTTGGAAATGGCAAAATATAAAGTTTAAAGGTCAGCATTGTAGTGAATGACCAAACCGTAGCATTCGTGGAGACAAGCTGGCTGGTACAATGACAACAAGTGTAGATTTTTTTTTTTTTTTAATTGAGCTACTTTGTTATCTCTGAAGTAACTGGTTTTCCTTTTACATTAATCAGTACGCAAGGAGCAGCTTTCAGTTTCAAAAATGTTGGTGACCCTTGGAACAAACATTTGTAATAGGACTTTGAAGGAGGTCCATTGTAAGGTTTCAGTTGGGAGGTTCGGGTACATGAGCTGTTAGCGGGACATCTGGAGTTCGGTTTAGGGGGGCAAGCAGCATTTTATTATTCGGAGGTCTTTATCAGGCATCCCTCTTCCCAGGAGACCTCGGAGAATACTGCTGGTCCACCCAAATCAAGTGCAACGTGGGTGAGCACTTTCAGCACGCCTTTGTGGTGCTGCCCATCCACACGTCGGCCGTTGCGACAGAGCCCGTGGAGGTGAGGTGGGGGGCCAACGCTCTGCACAAGCACACGAGTCCCCTCACCATCCCGGATGCCTGCGGCCTTCGCTACGACGTCAGTGAGCACTTCGGCCCCGGCAGGAGGGTCGACTCGTTCTGTGTGGAGGTGGTCAGCCAGCAGGACGTCCCGGTCCCAAAGTGTCCCCCCTACCTTGTCACGTTCTGGCAAAGAAGTCCGACTCCAATATGAGATTCGGGACACTCCCAGTCAGGTTGTATCTAGTCATGCTGCTAATATGCCATAGGTGGGCGATGCTTTTGGTGGCCTTCAGTGGGAATCTACCCGAATGAATCCATCTCTTCATTCCGCCACTTTCACGTTGCAATTATAGAAAACATCGGTTATATTCAAAAACGCATTTTAACAGCACGTAACTGAGCATTGCATATTATCTGAAGCAGTTCAGATTCAATTATTTTTGTACATGACAGAAACGGAATTCATTTAAATAATATCGATCGTACCCACCAGACATGCTGATTAAATGTATTCATGTGCAGATTGCTACAGATATGTATTGCTTGAACTTGGCTGGAACAAATTTTGCTTTGACTGACAAATCAGAGAACGAGAAAATCATGATGTCAACGAGGGCCAGCCCTCTGTCCTTGTTGGGACAAATTTGCAATCAGTCAATCAACACAGTTTTAAATTAAATGGGCCAGCATGACTGATTCTGAAGGCCCTGGGCAGATTAGATTTACACTGCAACACAATAGAGGCCCGAAGCTGAGGCTGTTAATAATAATCATTTATTTAGTGTATTTGTGGAGGGCGGGGGGGTTGGGGGGGGGGTTAATGTGCTTTTGTTACATTCACTAATTATAATAAAAACCAATGCAAATACCAGGATGTCATACAAATGGTGTATGAGCTTGTGTGTGTCTGGGGATGTTTTCTCTGCATTAATCAAAACTGCCTCATCATAACAAATAGTATAAGCCTACCCTCTTGTGGTTAATTCAGGACAGTGTCTTCATACAACAACTGCGATCGGCTACAACTCGAGCACTTCGCACACAAAACTCTCACACACCCAGACTAAATGTGTGCATCTGTTAATGTGTATTAGTGAGGTTGGGTTTCTTTAGTTTCCCCGAAGCACTTTATGCTACAGTTTATGTCCAGTTTGAAAAGCGCAATAAAAAAATGAAATGTTCATCTTTACTGAATCATCAGGTTCAACACTGGGTTAGATATGACAGTAATTTTGTTGTTTGAATGAAAAGGACAATTTGTTTTGAATATTATATCATCCCATGTGACCGACCACGAGAAGTTGCCCTTGATTCATTGATGCATTATTATTTGTGTGGGTGGACCTTCAAGACTTATTTGTGGACAATTTTTTGAGGGGGGCGAGAGGGCAGACCGGTTTCCATGAAAACACAATTTGTATGCACACTAATAACAGGAGTCAAGGAAATCAGTAACAATGTAAGGCACAGTGACAGTTTATTAAAAATAGAGATCACTCATTCAGGAATTGCTACATACAAAGACAAAAACATGGTACAAAAAATATTTGAAAATTTGGAATCGTTTTGGAAATTCTTATTTTGTCTCAGTAAAATTTACCAGGATAAGCTTGATTAAAAAAAAAAAAGGACAAATACTTATCATTATGTCCAAAACTTTTCACACACTTTTCACACATTCATTTTTCTAAAATCCCACACAGGGCGTATTTCAGCACCAACTTTTTTATTGACAAAATATTCAATGTTACAATTTCATAACATTATAATATAACTGGGAGCAAACAAAATAAATATATATTCAGAACGCGAGGTCGCCTGGCCGATGGTCATGAGCGTGTGTGACGTCAGCAACACTACAAACTGCTCACGGCGTTCCCTCTATAGCAGAGGACTGCCTCCTGGATGCCTTTTGACAGTTCGCAGCTGGACGTCAGGGGGACAGTATGGCCGGGGTATTTCCTGGCGACGTGTCCCCGGCCGTTCGCCTGTAGGACACATACTTTATTTTACTGCGATCCGCGTATTATTTTGACGCTCTACTTCCTCATGCTACGGCTAGCTTCCACGCTAGCATTGCTTACGGACGGAGGATGCTACTTGTTAGCTGGCTAGCAATGGACATACGTGGCTTGTGAATGTTAGCCTTTTTGCCAAAATCATTTTTTTAAATCGACGCTTTCATCATGAATTTATATCCATATGTCCAGTATTTTTCGCTTGTGGTTTTGTGGGCAAATGTGTCGGGTGTCAAGTTAGGTTACATCGCTTCCTTTGTTTATATAGCGGCCATCTGAACAACCCCAGTTCAGGTGTTGTGACCTCAACATGACTGGATCCAGCTCACACGTCTTTATGGAAATACGGAGGAGGGAGAAAACCTACATCCACTGATGTGATAGCCGCAGGTGTCCAGCTAAATTAACGAAAATGTGTTGGCTTCAAATATTCTTGATCGTCGGTCTTGTTGACTGGGTAAAATGTCAAGAAATCCAACACATGACAACAGAGGAGAAGAACACAATCAGGTCAGAAACTGTGTGCTGTAACAGCTTGGAGTTACTGTCAAAAGTCTTCTTTTATTGATCTAAATTCTCTTCGTAGGGATCGGATTGTTGAGATGTTTGATCATGCTTATGGCAGTTACATGGTAAGTAGAAGTTTCAAGTATGTACTGTTCTTATAGTATTGCTATGGATTATAGCATGTTTCACCTGCTGCCTTGGAACGAAACCAGGGATCAACTGTCAAGCATTATTATTATTATTTTTATCCATCTTTCTATTTTCTAATCCGCTTATCCTTACAAGTGTTGTGGGTGTGGTGGAGCCTATCCCAGCTGTCATCAGGCAGTAGGTGGGGTGCACCTTGAACCGGTTGCCAGCCAGTCGCAGGGCACACAGAGACGGACATCCACACTCACACTTTTCCTCCATTCCTACATATGCTGTGTTGTTTGAAGCTGTTATGGATGAAAGAGAAGCGAGTCAAAGTTTCCTTTCAACAGTTGAGACTCTTTTGATAAGTGCTGATAAGTATAAATTTGCCTTGAGTTGATGATCAGAGATGGCTTGATCACAGCACGCACGACATCACTCACGCCTGCTACAAACAAAGTTTGAAAGTGAACAAGCAACTGTAGCGTCGTTTGGTCAGTAATAATAATAATAATAATACATTTTATTTGTAGGCGCCTTTCTAAGTACTCAAGGACACCTTACAACAAGCAGTTTAAAAACACAAATACAATGTTAAAAACAACATCAAATAGAATAAGATCAAATAAAACAAAATAGAGACAGTGGATTTATGTTCACAGTGAATAAGCTTGTCTAAACAGATGTGTTTTGAGGCTGGATTTGAAATGTGTTAATGAGTCTGTGTTACGAAGGTCAGCGGGGAGTGTGTTCCAGAGCTGGGGAGCAGAGCGACTGAAGGCTCTGTTTCCCATGGTGACGAGGCGAGCAGGGGAGACAGTGAGGAGGAGAAAGGAGGAAGAGGGAAGAGAGCGGACAGACGTAGGAATATGGATGAGGTCAGACAGGTATGGAGGGCCAAGGTTATGGATGGCTTTGAATGTAAGGAGCAGGATTTTATATTGAATGCGGTGTATAATGGGGAGCCAGTGGAGATGTTGGAGGACAGGTGTCATATGATTTATGGATGGTGTGAGCGTGATAATGCGAGCGGCTGAATTTTGGACCAGCTGAAGCTTATGGAGGGTTTCAAAGCTGTCAAAGGGAATGGAGAAATTGTAATAAAAGTAGTAATGCTGTTTTTATCAGAGAAAAATCAGTTGCCAGATGATACAACGTGAAAAATTCGCCCGGCTCTTTTCGCAGGCTGCCAACTTAAAGGCGGCATATTTGAACACTGACTGTAGTATCTCTCCACAAATTTGTACATCTCAGGCCATCCTGTATACAAACACAAAGTTCCATATTTTCTTCTGTGATCCAGAAATATGCCTATCCGGCCGATGAGCTGATGCCTCTCAGCTGCAAGGGGCGTGTACGAGGCCAGGAGCCTAACCGAGGTGACATCGACGAGTCCTTGGGGAAGTATGTACATTATATTTCAATGGCTCCAGTGATTTCATAACAAACAAAAAAAAAGATTGAAGCAAAGTCTTTGCCTCGAAGTTTCGCAGGGATCATTTTTCCACAAGGACGAGTGTGCATTAACCGCTATGTGTAGAAAATAATATATCAAGTCAGGAAAAAAGAGTCTCTGGGTTGCTACTGATTCACTTTCAATTTCTTTATTGAACACACAGTAGGAAACCAACCTGCAATAAGAACATTCATACACAAGCTGGCCACAACTCCCGCCGATTCACTCAACACACACATTAACATCGCTGACGCCCACGTCACTCACCAATTCAGGCCCCGCCTTTTTAAAGCCTTCCCCCCCCCCCCCACCCTTCTTTTTCCAGATTTTCACTTACACTGATCGACACACTCGATACCCTGGTGGTGAGTTCTTGCTCTTTTTTACCCCATTGTTCTTATCTCATTAGCCTCCCGAAAATACGTTTCGCTCATGACATCCGCCCCTTTGTGTCTTTGTGCGCAGGTGTTGAACAAGTTGGATGAGTTTGAAGATGGTGTTCGGAAAGCGGTGCGGGATGTACGTCTGGACAGTGACGTGGTGGTATCAGTGTTTGAGACCAACATCAGAGTTTTGGGGTAGCTATGCTAACCTTATATTTGCTGTACAAAAAAAAAAAAAAAATACACACACACACATTAAGTTGCACTTTACCTAACTTCATTGAATTATTCCAGGGGGCTTCTCGGGGCCCACGTGATGGCTGACCTGCTCCGTCAGCGTGGAGGGAGGATGCAGTGGTATGAAGATGAGCTCCTCAACATGGCTACGGAGCTTGGCCATAGGTTACTGCCTGCCTTCAACACCTCAAGTGGCCTTCCTTACCCCAAGGTGCTACACTTAGAAATCCCCCGCTTTGGTTTTAGCTCGCAGAACCTTGCAGTTAAGTCCTTCAAGTGGAATTACTTAGCATGAAATGGTAGAGACCCATTAGATTTTAATGGAACGCAATTATTATTGTTTTTTTTTCTTCCGTGTCAACTCACGGGTCCCATATGAGGGACGGTGTCGAGTTTTGGCTTCTCCCTTCGTTCAGAATGGCAACATTTCAGCAGGTGTCTGGTTTATTCTTCCAAATTGAAAATCAAAGTCAGTTGACATGTTGGCAATTCTTTTATTTCTAGGTGAACTTGCGTTACGGAGTGCAGAACCCGCTTTCGCGCACAGGCGCCGAGTCGGACACGTGCACAGCTTGTGCGGGAACAATGATCCTGGAGTTTGCGGCCCTGAGCAGATTATCAGGAGAGTCTGTCTTTGAGGTACCTCTCCAAAACGCTTCATGGTTTAGACAAGCAGCAATTTTTTTTCTTCTGTGCATGTGGGCAAGTAGAGCAACAGGCACCAATGCACTTTTAGCTGTTTGTTGAATGGGAAAAGTAAAATACACAAAACTAGACTGCGCCTCAAAGGCATGCATTCAAGTCACGAATGCTACAGTACGGCCAGTCACATTGCTTTGTCATTACAAAAAAAAACAAACAAACATCTTAACTGTTTTGTAGGAACATGCCCGGAGAGCTTTGGATGTCCTTTGGGAGAGGCGACAGAAAGGAAGCGACCTGGTGGGGACTGTCATCAACATCCATAACGGCGAATGGGTCAGACGCGGTGAGGAAACGTAAACACGCTTGCACATGTATAATATTTCCTCAGACACTGTAGAGGACAAGGATGCTATTCACTCGCGCATTCTTTTAAAGCTCCACTTTCAACTTTTGCTTTACAGATACAATTCCTCATACAGTGCTATCAGTCTTAAGACCTTTTAAGAACCAAGGTCGCAAATGGATGTTAGCTAATAGCCTAGTATGGCTAGTTGAAGTGGTCACTCACCTCATTTTGCCGACTCCCACGTCACTCACCAGATCCAGCCCGACATTTTAAAGGCGCACGCACATAAGGATGCCGATCCCAAGCGAACGATCGATTTGACGGCTTACGCCGTGTCACTTCAGCCAAATCGGCTTTACCGTTCCAAACGGCTCTGTGGCGATCTGATATCAATTGTAATTTGCGTGTCCGTGTGTGTTTGCAGACAGCGGCGTCGGTGCTGGCATTGACTCGTACTACGAATACTTAATGAAGGCCTACATTCTTCTGGGAGACGACGTCTTTTTGGAAAGGTTTAACGTTGTAGGTCCTCCGTTGTAATTTGTTGTGCAAGCATGTCTTTATTGCCACCTGTTGATGGTTTTTGAGTTCACATTTTTAATGTTAGCGCACAAATTTTTCATGATGTTCATGTCCGGAACAGCACTACAGTGCCATTATGAAGTACATCAGTCAGCCTCCCCTGCTGCTTAACGTGCACATGCACAACCCGACCGTGAGCGCGCGGAGCTGGATGGACTCGCTGCTGGCGTTTTTCCCCGGCTTACAGGTTCGTCATTGTCTTCATGGCAGAGTCACTCTTCCCTGCTGTCAAAATTATCAGCTGTTGTTCTTATCATTTCACACAGGTCTTGAGAGGAGATCTGAAACCAGCCATTGAAACCCACGAGATGCTGTACCAAGTCACAAAACAGCACAAGTTTCTTCCAGAGGTAAAAAAAAAAAATAAATCTGTGAGATGGTATGCAGCTGCATCTCTATAATTAATTATATACGGAAGGTTTTTTTTTTTGTTGTTGTTTATTAAAGAAGTGCAACTTCTGTATTGTACACCGTCATTAAAAACATTGGAAAATACTTTCCTGAAGACCAACACCAAACTCATTTCTTCATTCATTTTTTTTTTCTTTATTTTTTTTTAAAATCATTGTCTTGTAGTATTGAAGTTTCTCGAGACGGTGAATTCAGGGTTTTCAATAGCTTTAATCATCAAAATGAGAAAACATTAAATCAGGAAATAGTTCACCATTTTCGTGCTTTATACCAGGGTTCAACATTAATAGTGAACCGATGGCCTGGAGCTGTTACGTCACTGTGTCAGGACACCCGAAGTTGACTTATGCTGGCCCATCCAGCAATTATAATATTTTTACATGTGCCATTTTTTTCCCCCCAGTATAATTTAATGCAGCTCGCGGTCCATCTAATTCCATTCTGCAGCAATTTTTCCAAGTCTAATTCAAGGTGATGCACCTGGACCAATGTTAAGTTATTGTCATTCCTTTCTCTGTAGGCTTTTACCACAGAATTCCGAGTTCACTGGGGCCAACACCTCCTGAGACCAGAATTTGCAGAAAGCACCTACTACCTCTACCAGGTGACCAACCTGACTGAAAGTAGACACGTTATGCAGCGCAGTGATCGGTTCAAAGAATCACAAAATTAAGCACAAATACAATTGACGATATTTAAAACGTGAAGTACAATCAAACATCAACGGCAGCAACAAACGGAATGTCCCGTGTTGCTATGCATGCCTAATAGAGCACAGGTCAGTTTCACTTTAACATATAATATAATACATTTTCATTTCATTTCATTTTTTTACATTTAATTAAACATACATGGAAGTACACGTTTGTATTACTGTTTGATATTCACTGATCTTCTCTTGCAGGCCACCGGCGATCCCTACTACCTCAGAGTGGGTCAGTCCATCGTGGAAAAACTCAACGCTTATGCCAGAGTGCCTTGTGGGTTTGCTGCTGTGCAAGATGTCCGCACGGGCACGCACGAAGACAGGTACTTTTGCTTCTTAAACATGCGCTGGTCGCCATCCTAAAACCTTCACCATTAAAACATTTTTGATTTTCCTGGCTGTGAATGAGATGTAAGGGAAAGTTTAACTCTGTGTCAGGAAATGACTTGAACTGCCGCGTAATGGAGGCAGATTTATGGTCATATGTGCCATCATGCATACGTTTCAGTGGTGAGGTCACCCAAAAAACATGGCCATTTGCTGCCCCCTTATGGCCATGTAGTGGTATGACACGAAGTTATTTTTCATCTGACAAATTAGAAGACAGTCAATTGGGTTCTCAAAAAAATGTTACTTCTATCCTGTTACACTGAGCACGCCAGTGGTTTTTTTTTTGTTCCAACCAAAATTGCTTGCTTGATCTTCAGGTTTTGTATTGTCATAGAGACTTGTGCCCCAGGCGCATGTTTCACCGATACAAAATAACCACAAGCAACGTTTGACTTCATTTCACCAATCAACCGAAGCAGTCACATGACCACACACACAACGTCTCCCTGGCAACCCAGAGAACCAAATTTGTCAAAAGTGACTCATTCTTGACAACTGCTCTCAAGTCATTATTTGGAAGACTCCTTTTTGCTTTTACTTGAGTCATATTCTTCCAAAGTAACGGTACAATTTTTGGGTACTCTACCAACCTTTGCCAGTGAGCGCGCACACACACGAATTAAAACATTTCTATTTCGTGCATAGGATGGACTCATTCTTTCTGGCCGAGATGTTCAAATACTTGTACCTGCTGTTCACGGAGAAGACGCAGCTGCCCATCAGTATTGACGATTACATCTTCACCACGGAGGCCCACCTTCTGCCCGTGTCTCTATCCACCACGCAGCCATCTTGTCAAGGCAACAAAACAGTCAGTGGGCTCACACACACACACACACACACACACACACACATAGTATAAAAAGTGCTGCCTTGACCTATAAGCAACCTGTCATGACGACTCATCTTGAAAAAAGATGAGTCATCACGACAATTTTTTTTTTTTGACTAGCTGGCCCACTGAAATGAGGGTGGTTTTTTTTTCTCCAAAATTAAGGTCATAGCGATTTAAAAATTTGCTTTGTACTACATTGCGATGCCCATTTGAATTGGATTAATTGTTCGCACCTAATTTAACTAAACTTACAAGCGCTGTAACGGATCGTTTTAAAATTCGTTTCTATTGTTTGTGTTGGAACTGCGGTGTGTGTTGAAACGTGTTTATTTTATTTTTTTCTGTTTGCACATTGCATTAGGAAACTCATGCTGTGGCCCACAAAGAGGATCTGTTCACGCGCACCTGCCCGAGCACGGATACGTTGTTCCCGAACAACCCTTCATTTGCCAAAAGTATCCGGGACAGCTACAAGTACCTGACGGGTGTGGGACGAGCTTTCCACCCCTCACCTATCAGGTGCAACCTTTCATTTTGAAGTGGAGCCTGTTTTTGCGTTTCTTTTTTTTTTTTTTCATGTGACTTTTAACATGGTCGTGCATGTTTTTTTGTACAGAGAAATTGAGTTACCTCTTCATGATAATGGCATCGAACCAGTGGAGTTCCTAAAAAGCATGGGCATTTCTCTCACTCCACTAAATGAGTTCAGCACGGGAGACACCAGAAGGGTACTTAACGTGTTACTTTGTTCTGTGAAAACAACACCGAGGACGACTTTACGGGAAAAGCGCAAACATAAATCGACTTTTCCCATTTGTTTAGGAGCACAAAGGCGCGTGCCGGATGAAACTTGTGGCGGAGGTGAGACAAACGCTGGATGAGGAGGAAGTGGTGCCTCATGCGGTGCAGCTTATCTCCCCTCCCTTTCTGGGGAGGACCGTGCTCATGGCAGGCCCTGCCAAGTTTGGAATGGACCTGACCAAGCGAGAACATGGCGTAAGATTTCCCATGGCGCAATCATGGATGCGCCGCAACACGTTTTACACGCTGTTTAAATAGGACATGTTTTAGATTATTTGTACACCCCACACCAGAGGATAATCTGTTAGCGGCATCAGGCCTTCTCCAACTTTGACCAGAGAAGAGGAAAAAATGCTCAAATTAGGCCTCATATTGATTTGTGTGTTCCCACTTTAGTATTTAAACAAATTATTAGGAATAAAATATGCATTTTTATGGTTTAAAAAAAAGTCCAGTTTTACAGAAACGCAATGAGAGTCAAAACTGTTAGGCAATGTCATAGTTATCTGCTTAAAAGGGTTTAATTTAAAGACAAGGTCTAATTTGAAAGAAAATAGAATTTTAATGTTCCCGGGACAAAAGAAACATTTAAAGAATTTGAATGTAGTTGAAGTCCAGTTTTACAGAAACGCAATGAGAGTCAAAATTGATCTGCAATGTCATAATTACCTGCTTAAAAGGGTTTAATTTAAAGACAAGGTTTAATGTGAAAAAAAATAGAATTTTTAATATTCCCGGGACAAAAGAAACATTTGAAGAATTTGAATGTAGTTCTTATTGTTTTTCTTAAATGGTAACACTTTTTGCATCCAACATACTCCTGCGTGGCAGGTGAAGGGCAGCATAGCGAAGGCGTCCCCTTACACAGCCTGCAGGCCACTCGAAAATCCAGCTGAGCTGAAAGGCCACGTCGCCTTGGCGCTACGCGGCGACTGCATGTTCGCGGCAAAAGCACGCTGGCTGCAGGAGGCGGGCGCCATAGGAGTCATCTTCATCGGTGAGCGTCACCACCTCAGCGCCTCGAGTCATTTTCCCTCAAGTCTGGAATTTGAATGGTAAGCTTTGTCCCGTCGTCTTTCTTAGACCACCAGGAGGGAAGCAATAGCGAGGAAACGCCGCTCTTCCAAATGGTCGGCGACGGCGACTCCACCGACGACATCGCCTTGCCGTTGGTCTTCCTGTTCAGCCGCGAAGGCGCCATCCTCGCCGCCGCCCTGGAGGAACATCGCAACGTAGACGTACTGCTGCTCCCTAAAGAGAGGCAGCTGGGACACGGTGAGGGCAATGAAAAAAAATCTCCCAAAACTAGACCAGCCAGTTTGTCTGTGTCCAACTGTGTGTCGCGCTTGTTAGTGCGACTTGGTTTGCTTCTATTCACAGCTATTCATAATACCAAGACTGCAAAAATTAATCACTTGAATAATTTGAGTTTGGGAAAAAAGGTCGAAGCAAAATCTCTGCCTCTAAATTTTGCAGCGATTAAATTTCAATGAAATTTTAATGAACTTTTAATATAGCCTAGCCTGCCCTTGCTTGTTAAAACGTATTGAAGAGAATAGACAGCGCCGTTGGTGCGCTTTCAATTGCTTCATAGAATTACAGTAAGCAAACCCGAGGCACAATAACACATGGCCACAACGCATACTAAGTCACTCAATATTCAGGCTGGCTAACGGGTGAGCAATTTAACAGCCAGCCACCTTTACACTCTCATTCCCTGACGCCCACGTCACTCACCAGACCAGATTATTTATTAATTAATTGTCCGGGGGTTGATCTTGTCCACGTTATGTCCTCTTCAATCTTAATTCTTTATCTTGGAGAGATTTTTTTTTAAGACTGTTCTATGCTTCCAAGGACTTCTATTGTACTAAAACATGCAATAGATTTATAGTACAATAAATAATGTTCGTATTATTGCTGATTTTAAAACTGTTTCCAGTGCGCTGATGGCGCACGCGGTTCTCTGAATGCTCCTGAAACTGACACCAAAGTGACCCCCCCCCGGGGGTTGAATTACTAAACTCGCTGTTTGGTCAGTTTGATGTTAATTTCAGCTGACAGCAGGGGGCAGTGCTGCGTAGAATGTCAGCCTCCTAGGATGGCTGAAAACAGGTGGCTTATAATCGTTTAATTCTTTTTCCCAAAATGCAAGATGAATCTGAACAGCGTGTTTAGACGAGTGGGGGCATTTAGAAAATATTGCAAAGTAAATTTTTGACGTCACAAGCCTTTTTGTTGTCTCTCCCTGTCCAGGTAAGACAGACCAACCAGTTCTTAACATTAAACTGAGACTTTCTGAGGAGGAAGAGGTGGAGGAAGAAGAAGAAGAAGAGGAGGAGGAGGAATCGAGTGGGCCCACTGTGAAGGTGCTTCTTGATGAAAGTGAAGATCTCAAATGAAATGAAACCACATGAGCTGCATACATTTGCACATTTAGCGTGTGGAAATGAGCCTTGCACGTTTTGTGTGTGTGTGTGTGTGTAAAAAAAAACACAAAACGGCGACCCGTAGAGCTTCAGAGCCTCTCTGAGATCATACGGCCACGCGCTCACAATGACAGTGAAAATGGAGCTTTAATCCTCCGCGTTGCGGTGAGACAAAAAGTAGGTCATTCCGGGCCAAAGATGTTCCCATAGTTTATTATTCCGGGCTGCTGCTGCTGCCTGATTGAACCTCATGTGTGGCTCTTGGTTGCTACCGACGACTGACTCTGGACTTAATACCTTAACCTCACCTTCCGGGAATGGTTCACGTAAGGTAGAAAAAGATGTTTTTAAGCAATGTTTTTAAATCTAGATTTTGCACTTTTTTTTTCTCAAGTGTTAATTATAAGGAATTGTAGCTGGGATATATATTTTGTTTCAATAAGTGATCATTTGAGCTTGTAAGCAGCTTCAGGGAATTTGAAGTATATTTTCTGTGGTTGAGAATGTGTGTGTGTTGGTCTATTTTCACGACAATACACAAGATTCCTGTCTCAACATCCCGTTACGACAACGTCTCCACGACTTCGTCCTAAGTCACATTCCAAGGAAAGAAGAAGCGGTCTTGCATTTTTCAGGCAGCACACAATTATTTTCCCAGCTAAATGTGCAATCTTTATTTTATGGAGTTGAAATGATTCACGTTACGGTATGGACTGTTTCCCATCAGATTAGTTTTTCATGCAGATGCTACAAAAGAGTGTTGAGGCCAAGCAAACCTTGGGTGGAAAAAGGAAAATAAGACTAAAGTCATCATCATTTCCGATTTTTTTTTTTTTTTTTTTTTTTTAATGAGAAAATATGAAATGTATTTTCTTGTAATGATATGACTTTATTCTGAAAATGGTAACCTTTTGCCCTCATCACTACTTTATCTTTTGAACGGCACTTTCTTGTAGTACTTTGAATTTATTATTTCTTCAATAACCAATTACAACTACGCGACTGTCGTTGCATAACTTTGACTTGATTCTCGTCAGATTGTGATGATGCTTGCAAAATGATTCCCCTAAGCTACAAAACGACTTTTTTTTTTGTAATGTTACAACATTACCCTCATAGATCTGCGACTATATTGTTGTTATTCAATGACATTTTTCCTCATACTATTATTCTTCGGGGTGGCTTCTCCGAATCCTTATTGAGAAGCAGCATGGTGGGTGTTATGCAATGAGTTAATTACAGTTATGTGTGAGCCCATTAAGTTTAAATTTGTCATCATGAAAATAACTTGAACCAATTTATGATTCATCGAGTTCTTCAACATCAATGCATCCTTCTCATCCAAGCATGTTCATTATGTTGCATCGTTTTGGCTTGGGTAGAACATTGAAATGTTTTTTGTTTTTCCCTTTTGTTTGCACAGTGGAACTTTTCCATCATGCTGCTGATTATTTTTTTTTTCTGTTCAAGGTTTTTATTGTTGTTCACGAATCCTAATGACAAAATGCATCCTATTTTTTGCATTTATTCATTAAGTAGGAGATTTGGACAACATTTGTACCTCAGGTCTGTGCTCGTTACTGTTCATTCATAGAAGGGACAGGATATGAGTTTCAAATGCTATTTTCTTTTTTTTTTCTTTTTTTTTTTTTATTAACTGCAGTCAGCAGTTTCCTAAACTGTCACGTCATCGGTGGTTGAAATGTGCCAAAAAAATTAAAATAAAAAGGCTCCTGTCTCAGAGTGAAGGCAGTCATTAAATATAAAATGTGAGCTTTTACCCCCCTCTTATTTATGCACAATAGTCTGCTGTGTCACTATCATTAATTTAAATTGGGCTGCAGATAAGGCACAGCAAACAATCTTACAGGTCCATTCAAGTGTGTCAACTGAAGTTTTCAAAAATAAATGTATGACAACTGAAATATACCTATAGATAGAGAAAAGAGAGAAATATACATGCTGCGCTTTCTTATGGCTACTCCTTTTTAACATGTGGAAGCAGAAATCGCACCTGTCTGTATGTGACACATGCCATTGGACACAAACATATGGAATGTGGAATTTTTTTAACAGTGTTTAAAAAAAAAACTCCTGCTGGCCTATTAGGCAGAGTAAATACTGCACTTCCGATTATGATGTTGATGTTATCCAACTGGTTTGAGACGTCACCGCGTTTCAATTTGCTGCACTTGTTTCCTCGTCTGCTTGTCCTGCAAACTGCTGCCTTCAGGATCTGGGATACGGTCGGAATTAGAAGCAACCTCCAGAAGTCATAACGTTGACCTCAATTTTTACATTGAGATTCTATGTTAAATTAAATGTATCTTACATGCTCTAAAATTCGTTGTCATAACAACGTATGCGCCTATTTTTTTTTTTTTTTTGGAAATACAGTTCCATATGTAGAAAAATTGCTTACTGTTTCCATGCAGCATAATGGAATATCCTATCCTCACTCGTACCACAAGTAAACTGGTTTTGGGGACATTTTACCGAATCGGCGCCATTTCAATTCTAAATCTGTACATACGCGTATCTTGGGCAACATTTTTTTTTTATTCTACAAAAAACTTCTAATTTCAGTAATGGGGTTGAGACTGCAGTATAAAATTAACACAAATGTGAAATGTAGCCACATTACATATATGCTAATAGCATGGTGACACCAAGCAAATGACAGTAATTCCACAAAACGTATTTTTTAAATAGACAGGATTGTGCTGGGATTTGAACCCCAGTTATTGAAATCTGATTAATATACAGAAAACTAAACAAGTAATCTTATTTTTGGCAACCCTGGGCCTGCAGAGCATGTTAATGGTGATACTTCAGGTCGACTATTTGTGATCTCAAGATTATTATATTTCCTGGTAAAGTCTAGTTGGAGGAAGTGGGGACATTTTTCTTCCAGTGTTCAACGTAGTTTCGATTCATAAGCAATGTGAGAAACACTTTGCTGTAGAAAAATATATTTTTTAGTTGATAGTTTAGCGTTCATGTCTACATTTTATTTGCTGGCGCCGATTCGGTGGAACGGTTCACCTTTTTGGTTAGTTTTTAATTAGCGAAGTGCAGTTCGATGTTTTGTTTTCATATGTAAAATATGTGTCCAGGTAACGCTTGCTAGTTTCCCAGGCGAGCCTGAAGGCATCACTTCCAAAACTCATACGCAAGCAGGCTGTCAGCCTCACACCCCCACCTCCTTTTCCTCCCCTGAAGCCCCGCTATCTTTAGCACTGTCGCGGATTACCGTGCGCTGCGAGCCGGCTAGACTACCTGCTCCATCGCTGCCCCACAGCACCGAAGAGAGCTCTTTAAAACGAACTAAACGGCGACATCAAACCCCGAAAAGGATGGGGGAATGACTACAAAATCCCCGTCCGCGGTTCTCCGTTCCCGACAAGACTACCATCACCACCTCCGCCACCAGCGACGATGCTGCCGCTCTCCAGCCCGCGGAGCGAACGCCAACGCCGGGCCTCGACGCTGCTCCTGGCCGCGGTCGTGCTCTGCGTCTTCCGCTCCGCTGCTAGCCTTCCAGGTAAAACCGACACGCACACAGCCACGTTTAGCTGAAAAATATCCACCTTATGGTATCTATTCATCGACTGTATGCTTGTTTTTGTTTTTTTTTTCGAACCAATTTGTCGCGTCTACGTGCGTCATCTGGGGGGCATCTTTAATGGACGAGCTCGTGGCACCTGTCAGGCAGACACAGCTTTGCGTCAAAATGGAGACGTTTAAAACACCCAAAACATTCGAACTAAGCGACTATTTTCTTCGTCCCACGCCTTTTCGCCTTGTCCTGTCGACGTGGTCGCCTGACGTTTTCCTTTTGTGCAGGTTGAGTGAGCAGGTAGTAATAAGCAGCGAGGAAAAAAGCCAAGAACATGTCATCGTTTCTTTCCTAGTCAGCATTTCCCCTGTTGCAACCCTAACACAATTGCACCACAATTATTGTAGTTAAATATCTTAATTACTACGCAGTGTTTCTCTACCGTTTATTGAGCCTAGCCACATGGTTTACATTTGAAAAAAAAAAATTCACAGCACGCCACAAAACAACAGTCAGAAAAATTATACAGGACAGCAATGAGAGCATTTTGAAGGATGTAGCATGTACACAATCCTGAACCCATGTTACACAAACAATTGTTTTCAGTATTTGAATTACTCAACACAAACATGTAGGGCTCAAACTAACGATTATTTTAATTAACGATTAATCTGTTGATTATTTCGGGAAAAAAAAGAACATTTTAAATGACATCTCTGTGTTCAATGAATTATGATTCACTTACTGGTTTGGTCTGTAACACGTCATAAAATGGGCAAAAATGTTGCTCGTTGTTTTCCACAGCAAAACCAAATGTTTTATTTTGATTCAGCACAAAGGTAATCAAATCAGTCTGCATTCGTGGAGGACTACAGAAATTGGAGAATATTTACTGTTGAGGGTTAAATGCTGAGGATGTAGACAATTTAAAATAAACAAAAAGAAGTATCGAAACAATTGGCCGGTTATCAAAAAAAGTCTATGAATTTGATAATCGATGAATTTCGAAACATGCAGCCTTCCAAACGAAAGATGAGACTCTCTTCTTTCAGCTTTTTATTTATTTATTTTTTTTGCTCTTACTATCTAAATATGGGCATTTCATAGCATCAAAGTAAACGGATACGCTAGCTCGTTCCTCTCTCCTCGCGGCGTTCATTGGCTTGTAAGAATTGCGTGGAGGGCCTGATCAAGTGCTCCTCAGCGCCTTTATATTGCCCACTGCAGTATACTTGTGATGGGTTGTAACTAATGCTGCCGGGGCTGGATAATCTGCTCCTAACTCTTACAGCACGATAACCATGTGAGAGCAGCAACAGCTGGACAGTCAAACGTCATTTTCAGTGCTCCGCGTGTTCCCTCTCTGAAGAGAAAGAACACGTTTTCATCAATGTGAATGGGCACATTTGTATATATTCAAACACATCCGTGTCTACCTAAATGTTGACAGGCTGTTTTTTTTTTTTTAATGTATTTGAAATGATTTCTTCTTGCAAATGTGATGGGTGCTGTTGTTAGATTCGGTTATGTGGCAATAAGGATGACGGGTGGGGTAATGGCAAATGAAACACCCTTTTCATGTGAAACGAGCAATTGTGAAATACAGCCAGTCGCATTATCATCGGGGGGTGCTAATGTAGCAAACGATGACACGTCATCATGACTACATTGTACCGTTTACACCAATGTCCCAACAGTTGAAGTCCCTTTGTCAACCCCCCCACCCCCATCCTCCCACCCCGGAATGATGACAAGCTCCGAGTTCATGTTGCTGCACTTGGTTTATCGCAGCGGCTGTGAGATGGCCGTATATGGAGTCAGGGATCAACAGGGCCGGTGACGCGTGGATCAAAACATCCGCTCATCCGCTCTCTTTACGTACACCTCACTGAGCCACTCTCTCATTTTCTCCTCGACCATCCAGCTTTTTTGATTGGCCTCAACGATGACTCCGGCTAGAAACTTTTCTTTTAGGCAATGTCATGAGCAGGTTCTGTTCAGTACCATGGCAACCAAGCAGAACAATCAAAGTCAACTTCTCTCGTTCCGCTGTGCGTATCGCTAGCGTGCTGGTCCCCTTCTTCTCGACACTGTCGTTCACTGGCATGTTGAAAGCGAGCGGCACTTCGTCCATGGTCGTAATGTGGTTGGGCTGGATGTATTTGTCGGCAAGCCTTTTGTTGTATTTCAAATTGCAAAGTATGTTTGGCCCTCATCACTTGCCATAGCCCAAATGGGTGAACTAGGAATTTGGAGATTGGTTGAGAGAACAGTCGGTAATGGAAGCCAAGTGAGATTGGCAGCGCGACAGAACAAAAGTTTGAAATCGCCAAGAAAGCGTCTTTATTTAATGCAGAACATTTCACTTTTGACTGGAGTAGGAGCGGAAGATGCCCAGCTTTTCCTTGTAATACCCCCGATGTTGCTGCACCACGGTCGTCCCTGCCCGGATGGCTAGATGGCGCCGTTTCAAAAAAACGAAAACACCAACCACGATGGATCAGTTGGTCTTGAATCCTCTCAAGGCGCCCCGCCCCGTCCATTTTGGAGAAAATTGAAGACTTTTAAGTGCGCCTTATGGTCGTGAAAATACAGTACTATTGATGATTACTATTTGCAAACTTCTCCTTGCACGAGGAATAAGAATTCATACTGTCGCCCATTCACTGATAGTGAATGTTCCCTGTGATGTGTTTTTTTTTTATCTCATCCCGTGCCCCCGTGGCAGAATTAGTCATCTATGTTTTGGTGGTGAATGGGAGACGAGAACAGTCAGGTGGAAGGCCACTTCCGCACCGCCGCTCGGCTAAATGAAGACCACTGAGTCAATTACTTGCTCCGAATGATTCACTTCTTTTGCATTGATGGAGCGTCATTGTGCTACATATTGAAAATTGGCCATGGGGTTGAATGCATTCATAGCAAGCCTGCACTGCATGGTCCCAAAAAAGAAAAAAAAAAGAATCATAGTTGCCGTATGGAAGCCATCTGGTGACTAATTGGTAGTTAATGATATCCCGGATTTGACCCAGAATGTTCCCCTACAGCAGTGGTTCTTAACCTTGTTAGAGGTACCGAACCTAACCAGTTCATATGCACATTCGCCGAACCCTTCATTATTGTTTTTTGATTATTTCATTGTCCCTTTCATAATTTTGCTGCTGTAAATTGGGAATTTCTCCATTGTGAGACAAATAAAGGTTTTCTTATTAGTGAAAAATAAAAATGTGACTTTTTTTTTTTTTTTTACAAATTCAAGACGAAAATATACTCAATAAAATTTCAAAACATAAGTATACGTTTTTAAAAAAATTGTGCACAAAATGAACCAGCCAGTGATGGCCAAGCGGGCGTATTATAACTAATTGACATATTGAGTCGGGTGTGCCTTTGTCGAACCCCTGAGACCCTTTAGGGGTTCGATCGAACCCAGGTTAAGAACCACTGCTCTAGAGGTTTGGTTCGCTGCATGGATAACTAATTCGGGTTGATTCTAAAATTCGAAAATTATTTGCTAGGATCTCAGTGGTCTCATTAAATGTTGTATAGTTGTCGTATGTAGTGATGTGTGTCGGTTTGTATTCAAGTAGTAGAAAGTATTTTGGGGAAAGAAGGTCTTCTGTGAAATACTTGATGGAATTTCAAACCCCGTCATCCATTTACAATCGAGACAGCAAACTGAACCAGTCACCATCCGTGGTAGATGTACGAGGTAGCTAGAGGTGGTTAGGAGTCATGTCTCGAATCTGTCTTTAGAGTAGAACATTTGATTTTCGCATTCTTAATTTACAATTAAGAGGAATGAACAGATTTGAATGAATGGGCCATTAATCGCAATATCCAAAAGGGTATCGGCTCTGATTGGCTGTTGGCTAGCAATTGCGCGAAAAGCACAGCAACGGCGAAGAAAATGGTATCTCATAAATTAAGCTCAGTGTAAACTTTTTGGCTTTTTACTTAGACTTGATCCTGCCTTTATGATGAGTACGATTCAGCTCCTAAAACGGATGGAAATTTAGAGATGCTCCAGTGTCAGAACGGGCGACGGATTCTTTTTGACGCGTCACGCGACATCACGTGGCGTTTTGAACAAGAATGAGGAACAAGGCAGCGGACCGTCGTCGTCGTTTTGGAAAATTGTACAGGGTATTACTTTACCGTATCGCCCAGACCAGTTTATTTTGAGATGTTGTTTTACAGCTCACTCGTAGAAAGGGTTCTGTCAGTCGTCATCTGTACCTGTGGGTAAAAAACAAAAAAAAAAAAACAAAAAAACACAAACAAAAAGCAAAAAATGGACGTTTCGCTTCTCTCACAGAAGCTTCGTCAGCGGTAGACAACCCTGAAGTCTCCGTGAAGACTCCGAGAAGTTGCTCTGCGCTAAAAAGCTGAGCGTGGCCTGTTTGAGGACTGGGTGGGGATGGTTAGTCACGCCCCTATTGGTTTATTAGAGGCCCATTGGTTTCTAAATTCCCTATCATTGGGTCTTGATTAGGCCTATTGTTTGGGCTAAGGCTGAATAGCTACTTTCAGTTAGCCTGATCAGCATGTCTATGTCCCTTACTGGTCAACAAGTTATTGTAAATAGGAGACAGGTTAAATCTGATACCTCCTTCACGGTTCAGAGAGGGTGAACCACAGGTACAGATGACGACTGACAGAACCCTTTCTACGATGGAACTTTCCTGTACGACTGAGAGCCTCCACAAGCATTTACAGCTCACTGTTTTCACACCCTCCGTGCGAGGTTTCACAAATATGCCTAGCGGGTAGTTTGCGAGGGATTACCGACAGATCAGTCACCATGCCAAAAGGCAACCAGGAAACACTCATCAATAGTATTGATCTTCCTCATTGTGCTCTATGTTGTTGCAACTTGCGGAAAAAAAAAAATGAGGTGGGTGAGCCGAGGATTCTTTTTAAGCCCTTCTTTCAAACCCCTTCCCACACTTCTCTTCCTCACCTTGCTTTCTACACTTCAAAGT